AACTGCAGATGCCCCTCCCTAATGTGATCCTGTGTACCAAATAACAGTCTTGTATCTTATTGCGGAGCTTAGTTATGGCAAGTTATTTGTTTTTGATTAATGGCGTTTTGTGGGCGTGGCAGTGGTCCGATTACGCCCATCTGCAATACCAACCGTCTCACGGTACCATGAAACATGTCTACCAAGTTTCATAAAGATATCTCAATTTTTACTCAAGTTAGAGCTTGCACGGACGGACGGACAGACGGACAGACGGACAGACGGACGGACAGACGGACGGACAGACGGACGGACGGACAGACAGTCACCCGGATTTCAACTCGTCTCTTCATCCTGATCATTTATATATATATAACCCTATATCTAACTCGATTAATTTTAGGTGATACAAACAACCGTTAGGTGAACAAAACTATTATACTCTGTAGCAACAGGTTGCAAGAGTATAAAAAATAATGCATGAAAATATATGAAGCAATATAAAAATATTACTTCAAATATAGCAAAAATATTTAGAGATATTAAAATTAAAAATAAATAATTAAAATAAAACAAAAATGTAAAAAATTATAAAAATTAAAAGTTAAAATTAAATTTAAAAAAGTCGAAACTCGGGAAATGCAAATATCCATAAGAACTATTTATAAACAATTTAATAAAAATATTTAAATATGTTAAATGGTATAATAAATATATAATATACATTGAAAAAAACGCTTAAGAAAAAATTGTAAAAATATTATTAAATAAAACAATAAGTATATTAAATAATATTAAAAAATATATAATAAGCATAATTGAAAAACAACCATTAAAAACATTATTAAAAAATGTAAAAAGGTATAATAAATATTAAAAAATATAAACAAATAAAAATATAAAGAAATAAAAAATAAAAATATTTAAAAAAAATCGTATAAAATAAGGAAAATTTATAAGTAAGACACTACTACAAATAAATTATTAAGAAATATTTAAAAAATTTGAAAAAAAATTTAATTTAAAAAAAAAAATTAAAAGACAAATTATTCTAGAAATGTTAAAGGGCTTAATTAAAATTAGAATACAAAAAACATTAAATATATAAAGAAATATAAAATAAAATTGATCAGGAAAAATATTATAAAATAAAGACAATATATAAATAAAACAATACTAAAAAATATAATAAAAGAAAAATTATTAGGAAATATGTCAAAATAATTTAACAAATATATAAACTGAAATACATGGCTATACATATAAATTAAAAAAATTTTTTAAAAATATTAAAAAATTTTCGAAATACAAAAGAATTTTCGAAATACAAAAGAATTTTCGAAATACAAAAAAAAAATTCAAACAAAGAATGTATCAAAGAAATAAAAAATAAAAATTGAGAAAGCCAGAAAAATATAAAACCTATTAAGCAAAATACTTTTAATACAATACAGTAAAAAATATAAAAAATAAAAATAAAAAATCTCATAAAATTTTTTTAAATAATTGTATAAAAATATTTAAACATTATTAAAAGCGGTAAAAAATATACATATTAGAAGAAATCAAAAACAAAACTCAAAAATTTTCTAACATTATTTTAAAAATAAATATTTTTAATAGAATATATTTAAAAATACTTTAAAAATAATTTTAAATGAATATAAACTAAAATATACATATAAATATACACATATTTACAAAGAAATAGTTGAAAAACAATAAAAAAAAAATCAAATAATATAATAAATGTATACCCGTGAAATAAAAAATAAATATTTAGAATTAAAAAAAAAAAATTTTTTTAACTATAAAAAAATAACTTATAAACAGAAACGTTTATTTTTTAATAACTATCCGTAGTCTAATAAGAAATAAATTTAAAAAAATAAATAATTAATATTTAATAATATAGCATCAGTGTATAGAAAATATTTGAATATTAACGAAAAAAATATAATATAATAAATTAAAAAGAAAATATTTTAAAAATTATTAAACATCAGCTAAAAGTCTTATAAATATTTTCGAAACCTATCTATTGCAAAATTGTGTTGGCATTTTCTAATTGAAATCGAAAGTGAACTGTGATATGTACATAAATCGTTATATATACGTATATATATATAGCGATACATATCTATTAAAGTAAAAAATAAAAATATTTAGAAATTTTATGCGTTGTCATAGTATATTATTGGCAGTGTTCGTGTGTCGCCCGAAAGCGTTGTTGCATTAAAATATATGCGTCTCAGCTAAAGTACTTTGTTTGGGATGATGGTTAAACGGTGCAAAGCAGAGCTAAATATAAGCAAATGAAGTTCAAAATTTAATAAATTAAAATCAAATTTATAAATTAATGAAAATATATAATTAAGAAATTAAATAATTGCTCTTTACCTTATGTGCTTTTCATACATACTTGTAAGTGCTTGTATGCAAGAAAAGTTTAAGTCGGATTAAGAAAATATTGTATATGGTATATAAAATGTTTTAAAGAAAAAATAAGGAAAATATTTTCTGTCAGAGCATTTTGTTATACCAAATCAAAACTATGACTGTAAATTTTTTTAAACCTTATTTCACGCAAAAATTGCAAATAATATGACAACAAATAATAAAAGAAGTTATTTTTTTTTTGGCATTTGTATCAGTACTATTTTATTTCGGTGTACATTTTCTTCGTTTTCCTTTTTTTGGTATACTTAACATCATTCGTATTACTTAAAACATAAACTAATAATAATAAAATTATAAATTGCACTAGTTTACAAATACAAATTTTATTTAAAAAAATAATAATTCTATAAAATAAGCGTGTATAACATAATACAAAATAATAAAATATTATTTTTCAAACAATTTTACTTCTGAAAGCTTCTAAAAGGAGGAAATTAGACAAAAGCGTATAAGCGCACATCACTTAAAAAGCTGAAATTATATCTAAAAAAAAAATTATTCTGGCAAACTAGTGTGAAATAATATTTATTATTTTAATAAGTATTAAAAATACTGTACTTAATAAAGAAATGTACAAAAAGTGGTACAAAAAATATAATTAGCATTATCTAAAGAACTTAACGAAATAAACATATGTATAATGCGCCCAAAAGCAGACAAAAATACAAAATAACAGCATTTGAACTTATAAATATTAAAAAAAAATTAAAGTAAAAAGATTTATCATATTTGTTTTTTTTTACACAAAGTTTCATATTCTTTTTTACTTTCCATGAATTTGAATACTCTTAAAGTAATTACTTTGCTAGCAAGCAATTTTTTATTAAATCAAAGTATTAGCAAGTTGCGATTTATGGCAAAATTTCGCATGCGAATGCCGAAATTCTTTGCTTCAAATTTGTTTCTAACCAAAATTTTTATATTATGGTTTTCGGGATCAACCCCGAAATTTTCGGTACTTTTAGTTTTAGCGTTGTTATTAATTGTCTATAACATTTTTCAGTCGACTTGGGTCTAGCAAGATTGTAAAAGTAAAATCTACACTACAGTATTTGTGTGTAGTAATGTTAGGGTGCATCCCCGCGCTTTCTCTTTATCAAGTAGTTTAATATTTTGAAACCATTATGGAATTATTTTACAACAAATAATTGAAAATTTTACATGTAAATACCGAGTTTCCTTTACAAAATTTGTTTTACTAAACACGTGTTTTTTTCTTAAGGTTTTCGTTGCCAAACTCGAAATTTCGGGATTAGCAATAGTTGAAAATTTAGAATTATGAATTTAAATACCGCATTTCTTTAATACAATTTGTTTTTTTAATCAAAACTTTTGTTTACGGCTTTCGGGATCAATCCCGAAATTTCGGGATTTTCAGTTTTAGTGCTTTTTTATTAATTGCTTACACTGTTTTTCAAATTACCATGTTTATACCGAAACTCTTTTGTAAAAGCTTGTTTTTATTTAAGAATTTGGTATTATGGTTTTTGGAACCAGACCCGAAATTTCAGAATTTTTATGTCTAGTGTTTTTTATTACTTGCTTGCACTATTTATCAGCACTTTACTCATTTTAATGCACTATCGGCATGTGTCCTCGAGTGACCTTAATTGTTATATTCGGTATTGGGTTTATGATGCTATAGAACGTAATATTTGAAAATATGTGATTTTCTGGGACTATAAAAATGAGATTTCAAATAAAGCTAATCATTTCATTACTGACTCAGTCATGGCTGCTGTTTGTCAATAGAAGACGAGCCAAATAACTCGTTGCTGCCTACAAAAGGCATTCCTGAACGCAGAGAGAGTAGAATGGGTAATAGGTCCCTCGTTGAACCCTTAACATCCATGATAGAGTGGTGAATGTTTTAGGGACTACATGTATATGTTGTGAAGGCATTTTGGAATTTTAAACCCTGCTTACAGCCTAAAAAAATGGCTACTGCATTTCGGAGTCAGTTCTAGATCTGAAATTGTGATTTCTTGCTCATTTTGCCTTAATTTTTGTAAATCTGTGCTAATATATTGCAGTATATTCAGAAAACTTCTAACAAAAATACTCCAAAACAATAATTTCCATCAATATTTGACAATATGCGTCGGAAGAACTAGTGAAACATAACGCGCTGTACACTTTTCGTGGGACTAATATTTGTCGGGTTTTCAAAAGTCTTAAATAAATTTGAAAAGAATAATTTTCGAGTCCCATAATTGCTAGAAGTAAATTTTTGACATGCTGAAGTGCGTTTGCTCAAGAAGGAATCCAAAGCATTGCTGAGACTAAAAGAGCTCATTACGAGCATAACAGCGCGGTACAAAGACTCTTAAATAATTAATTTTTTTACTCTTATATAAAACTACAGCAATCTTTAGAACTTTTATACAATTTGTAACGAGCCTCAGCATTATTTACGGGACTTGGTTAAACGCCTAAATGCATTGCTGCAATTTCATTAAGTATATAATTTCCTTTAACTGCTACTGGAGCGTAGAGCTGCTATTTCTATGCGCGTTTTATCATTTCTTTTTCGGTGTTAATAAAAAAATACTACTTAAATATTTTTTTGTATTTATTTGGTATTACATAATTGAACATAAGCAGATTTCAAAAAAAAAAAATAATAATAAGTAAAAAAATAGAAACAAACCAAAAATAATAATTTACCCTAGTCACGCACAACCGTTATAGGGCGAAACGTATTTTGCGAGTGTTTGAAATTCGAACTCGAATTCGAAGATCATACCTAAAATAGCTTATTTGAGTACTACTATGGTAAAAGTTTACGTATTATTACTTTTGTATATACACTAGACATTTACAAAATATTTAATTAAAATAAGTTTGAAAAAAATTTACAAAATACTAGTGAGAACAAAAAAAAAAAATATACAAAATACTTGTGTGAACATGTTTGGAACACCGCATAGTTTGTGTAGTTTTCAGGACAACTGTTGTATGTATGTTCTTGAACGAGTTGAAGATGTGTGTGTGTGAAGACATAACTCAAAATGCCTGTGTGCTTGTTGGCATGTATGTATGTATGTATGCGCATGCACAAATAATTCAACTTGCCTTTTTCGTTTCATTATTATTATTATTATTACTTAAATATTTCTCAAAAAATCTTTACTTTGCCGAATACAAAGTCTAATGCAGCTACGATTTCTAAGTGATTAACGCTTGCGGTATTACTCGCTCTTTTTCGCTTATTTTACTTTACTGTTATTGTTGCCTACTTCTTCGCACTTAACACTACTATGTACTTTGCTTCTTCTGCTTTTTATTTTTCTTTTACTTTTTAGTATGTATGTATGTATGCATTTAAATTATGAGTATACTATATATGTATATGTATGCATGTAGATTACTATTATATTATATGCTTGTATTTTGTATATATGTATGTATTTCGAATGGAAAAAGTATGCATGCGAGACTACGTTTAAGCCAAGTAAAGAAACGCCGAAAGTATACATATGTATGCATGTAAGCACAGCGCGCTAAAAGCAGCATAAGCGTATGCCTGCCTTTCATTCGACCACCTCAATAGATATCATTCTCATCCCAATCCACCGATTGCAACACCAATTTGTCCAACTCCTTCGAATCACCGGAGCTGCTGTTGCGCCGCCGCCGTTTACGATGCAACTGCGTCCACTTCTTGTTCAATTGCGCCATTTGTGGTGCCGCAAACATCGCTGCCGCCGCAGCGCTCAACTTTGTTGGCGTTATGGCGCTGGCAAAGCTGCTGCTGCTCGGCGTTATCGTTGTCGTCAGCGGCGTGTTGATGTTGAAGATCTCACGATTCTGAAAGAGTTTTTTGCGTGTGGGCGGCGGTGGCGCTGTTGCGGCGCGGCGCGTACGTGTGGCGTGCGGCGGCGGTGGTAGTATGTGCGCAGGCGCATACTGTTGCAGCGGTGTATCGACATATGGTGGTGGCGGTGTAATCATCGCCAGCGAGGAATCGTCCAACTCCAGCTCGTCATCGTAGCCGTCGTTGGAGTCGTCTTCGGAGAGATCGAATGTGAAATTTGGATAGGAATGTGGCAGATATTCGTTGCAATTGTTGTAGTAAACGTCATTGTCGCACATGGCATGTGCGTTTGCTACTGTTGCGTGGCCACCCTCACATTCGGGTGAGGTTGATATGAAGTGTGCAGTTGGTGATTTCGGTTGTACGGGTGTGGCTGGCACGGATTTGGCGAGCTTGGTGGTGCGCACTTTGCCGCATGTGCTGCGCGTAGCTGTGATTGTTGTTGCTGCCGCTGCTGCATGTGTTGGTTTTGTTGTTGCGCCATTAGTTGTTGTGTATGTTGTGGTTGTTGTAGCGTTTGCTTGTTGCATTGCTGCTCTTGCGTTGACTGCTGCTGCTGTTGTTGCTGTTGCTGTTGTTGTTTTAATTAGTGGCATCGATTTGGTATTACATATCAATCAATCACGGTAAATGTAACTACAATTCTTGGGGCTCTCCTGCGGACTAGGACTGCTAGAAGGTGGCGCTGGACTAGAACTACTATTTGACATCACCGGCGATGAACCGGAACTGGAGTGTTGTGCTGGACTATTCGAACGGTGCTGAGTTACTATATTATGATGAGATGTAGAAAAGAGTTTTATTGAAAATTTTTTTGAACAAACAAAAATTTATAAAACTATTATTAGAGACAGCAAACTAGTTGAGTAGAAATGTTAGTTCGAGTTACATAACAGCTAACATCTTAGAGACGAGCGAGCGGATTTGTTACAATTGAATGCAGAGTGGGAATTATGATAAATACGGGGTATTTTTACTTTAAATACATACGAGTTTGTTTGATTTTGAGCTTTTTGCAGCATTTCACGAATGAAATTCCAAACCAAATTTTTTGCTTTTTACTTCACATATTTACATACGAAACTGCTTAAGTGTTTGCATGTTTAAGCGTTTTACGAAATAAATTTCGAAATTAAACGGTTTTTCATGTTGGTTATTTTTTTACTTTTTATTTCAATAGAATGTAGCAATTACTGACAAATATAGTTCCACTCCATTTAATTTATTAAAATATAACTTCAGACAATTTCACGACAGTTTTAAAACTATTAAAACGAGGACATACCGAACTGTATTTGTAGTTTTATCCAAAGCGAATGTTTATAAATTTAAAATGTCTGATATTATAGCTGTTTCTAATAGCACTTTAATTTAGTCAAAATGACTGTTAGTTTTCTCTTGTGCTGATAGTTAGTATTCAATAAAAATTATTCTAAAAACATACCGAACTATCGTTATACGAAATTTTTCAACTCAGCTCGTGAATCTTGCAACTGATTCAGACAAATCTTTCATTTAGTCAATTAGCAAAATTCTCTTATATAATTGAAATAGTGGTTAGTTTTCTCTTGTATCGAAATTCTTTTATAAAATTAATACTCATTCATACAAACTCTTAAATATATACTGAAGTAAAATACCGAGTGATTTTGGAGTGATAATTTATGGTGTTTCGAAAATTTTCTTATATTAACCCCCACCTGTTGTGTTTTTATTATTGTAGTTTTTAGTTGCATATAATTGCTTTAAATAAAATGTTTTTTTTTTAAATTTACGCATTTAAATTAATATTTAATTTATATAAATTTCGTTTGACTATTCTCATTTAAAGCAATGTATAACTTAATTTATACTATTGTACTTTCTCTAATTGAATTCAATTTAGTTTTTTCATGAATTATTATTTAATTTATTAAGTTAATTATTTCATTATTCATTTCAATTATTTCATTATAATAATTTTTATTGAAAATTCTTTGTGGTATAAATTTTATTTCAATTATATTTAGTTTCATTAATTATAATATATTTAATTTTTGTAATTTATTTTTATATTTGTTTAATTTATTTTATGCAAATTTTGTTTAAATAAACTCTAACCAATTTAAATGATGGGATTAAGCAACAAAATTCAATTCAATCTTATTTCATTTTTATTGAATCAAGTTCATTTAATTTCACTATTTAATTAAGTGCATTTAACATTAAGTTTATACATTTCTTTGCAGTGATTTTTATTTAAAATATCTATTAATTAAATGCTATAATACTGTTACTAAGAGCCTCTTTTATTTTTAAGAACGAATTTACTTTCGACTGCTAGTTTTCCATTAAATTTTGTTTAATTTCGTCAATTATAAGCGATGTTTTAATATTATTTTTAATTGTATTTTATCTCTTATAATTTAATGCAATTTTAAAATATTATATATTTGCGGTTTTGTCATATAATATGTATGCACTTCGGCTAACTTTTAGTAAGATAATTTATATATGAGAATTATTGCAATTAGCCTTGTGTTTATTCGCTTTAATTCAATTTTTATTTTTATATATTAAAATTATGTTTTTTTTTTGTTAATTTTTTTTACTTTTGCTATAATTCTTAAGCTAATAACTACTACTGCTCAATTTCGTTAAACTCGATTAAATCCAATTTAATTAATTCGATTCCGTTAATTGTAATATAATCGAGTCCTATACACTGTCTGGCCATTTAATGACAAATGAAAACCGTTTGTTGTCATATTTACCTTAATGTGTGTTTTTTGTCCTTTGTGAGTTGGCAGTAAACATTATTATATTTATTATTATTATTAAGTTAGAGTTTTTCAAAGTTCATTAGTTTTATGCTATTTAGTTTTTAGATTCTTTTACCCAATGTTACATGTTTAATTTTTTTTCAGTTAAGTAAGCCTTGAATCCGATTCAATCTAATTATTTGTATATTATTTTGTTTTTCATAATTATCATTTTAATAATTAGGTATTTAATTGTATTCAATTTTAATTTCAATCCAATCTAATTATTTTTATATTAATTAATTTTAGTTTTCAAAATTTTGATTTGATTTAGTAAGTATTTAATTTTATTGAATTTCGATTCAATTTAATTATTTTTCACTTAATTAAGTAAGTATTTAATTTTCTATAAAGAAGAGACTCAAAATAATTTTCAAATAATATTCCAAGTATTAAATTCAATTTAATGATTCAATTTTGATGCAATTAAATTATTTATATATTAAAAAATTTTTTGTGCATAATTTTAATTTAATTAAGTGGGTATTTAATTTGATTGAATTTCGATACAATTTAATTATTTTTCAGTTAATTAAGTAAGTATTTAATTTTCTATAAAGAAGAGATTCAAAATAATTTTCAAATAATATTCTTAGTATTAAATTCAATTCAATGATTCAATTTTGATGCAATTAAATTATTTATATATTAAAAAATTTTTTGTGCATAATTTTCATTCAATTAACTGGGTATTTAATTTTATTCAATTTCAATACATATTAATTATTATTTTCATAATTTTCATTTAATTAAGTTATTATTTAATTTTATTCAATTGCGCTTGGACTTAATTATTATTATAATAATTAACTTTTTGTTTTCATAACTTACATTTAATCAAGTAAGTATTTTGTTTTTTTAATTTAGTTCATTTCAGTTCAATTTAATTGCTTTTTTATTTTAATTTAGACAAATCTTTATTTTATGAATTAATTTCCATTTAATAACTAAATTTATGCCTAGTTTTTTTTTTGTTTTATATTTATTTTATTTTGTTTTCTTTTTTTGATTTTCTTCTAACTCGTTGCTTTTGAAAACAACTTTTATAATCGATCTAAATTGCAATAAAGCATTTAATTTTTTTTTATTAATTTTTTATTATATCAATTTATCACAACATTTTTATATGTTTTTGTAATCACTGCTTCCTTTTTCTGCAACTTCCATAAAATCATCACTCTTCCAATCACTTGAATATCGTTTAAAATAACAATTAGTTAGGGCTTACAGGGCTTACACGACAACTAGGCATGTTGCAACCAGCACTACTTCATAAATTGGCATAAAATTACATATTTCTTAAGTAGAATGTATGCATAGCAGTAGTTAGTAAAACAATTAAAAATACAATTTCATGCTCGCTGCAACATGCAACATGTAGTAAAGAGGTTAGGGGGAAAACTACTTTGCTAATTAATTCATATAATCTCACAGCATTTCATAGACGATAAGCGACAATTTTTTTTGTTTTGTTTTTGTAAAGGATTTTTACTAACTAGCACACGTTGAATGAAGAAAATGGCAAAAGAAAAAGGAAAACATATACGAATGAGCAAACGGAAATGATTGGAAAATGCTACAAAATAGTAAATAGGTGAGAAAATATAGTGTATTGTATGGTTGTGTAGGTGTGTGTGCGATTTGTTGTAATTTTTATATATGTATGTAGTTTAAACTGACGATGAGAGATATATTATAGTAAATACATATAGAGTTTTTTGTACATATATAATATTGTAATAAAACAAGTGAAAGTGAAAACTTTGAACTTCTAGATATTTATATAGGTATAAATTTATATAATGATTACTGGTAATTATAACTGGTGATTACTCATTTAAATATTGAAAAAGGTGTGAATAAATTTAAATTTTTGTTAAACAATTTCTTTATTACGATTTCGAAAAGTTAAATTAACAAATTTAGTGATTCTCTAAGTTGTAATTATATGTAGTATTTATGTTTAACACTAAGTGGCACATAAACGAGTATGTAATTAGTTGAGTTTGCATAGTCGCATTAACGTAGTATTGTAACAAGTTTGTAGGTTAAAAGCAACAAGTATAATGAATTCTTTAGTGGTTTTGCGCACTTACCAATACCATGACGGGGCGGCTGCCTTCTTAAACGACCAAGACTTCTGTTACGTGTATTTGTGTTTACAGCCTGAGAGTGAGGGGGAAAATTTGATTTGAAATTTGAAAAAAAAGAAAACAGTTTTCTTTGTATATTTGGCATGTTCAAAACTATTTCGGTATGTTTTTGTAATATTGTAAAAAAATTGTTGCGTTGTGCCGTGAATTTTCGTGTGTGCTCGTTTCCGTGTGTGTTTGGCTGAGTTTGTGTGCATGTATTGCTTGCTTTTGATGCAAATTTAGTAATGCTTTAATTTGATTACGCAAATGCAAAAACGTTGAATTAACTATTATATTTAGTAATCAGTGCAAACTACTTATGTAATTAACTTGAAGTTGCTAAGTAATCATAAAGCCTAAATATTAAAATTCCATTCATTTTTAATATACTTAAAACTAGGCTGTGGTTTTTTTTTTGCTTTTGAGTGATTTTTTTTTGTTTTTGAGAGATTTTTTTGACTACCGCTGACTTGAAGGTTATTCTCACATTTTCCGTGCTTAATATTTGATTTTTTTTTGATACTTCTTCGTGCAATTATACGAACGTTAATACGTTTACTTGCTTAATGCAAGTGTATATAAAATTTAAATAAGCTCTATAGGCTACTTCACAGATGCTTGAGAGAGTATTCTAGCAAAAGTTTCGAATTTCGAAAAATTCTTCGCAATTGATATTTTTATAATCGATTTTTTTTATTATTTGTTTGTTTATATTCAAAACAAACACAACAAAAAAAAAAATATATATAGAAAATAATCATAAAGTTATGCTTTTTTGAAGTGAAGGGAGGTAAAAAGGTAGATTTTTTAAATTTATCGAATTTTCGAAAATTATTAAAATTGCACACGATAGCGCAATATTTAAAGAATATTCATGCTAAAACGGCTATAACTTTGAAAAATAATTTGGATTTCCAGCTTGTGTTCATAAGAAATTTATACACTTTGATAGTTTTGTCGAATATTTTACAACGACGAAGAGTAGACTAATAACGGGTGTTTTTTTTTTGGTATGGTTTTCAGTGAGGCTTTACTGGTTTGCGGAGTGTGTCCTTTTGACAGCTATTACTCGATTTATACTCAGTTTGGTCTGCCATTTTATAATGAACAGACTTACTCTCACTTTATGGTAGATTTCGCGAAAAAACTTTGGTTTGCCTTGGGTGTAGCCATGATGTGGATAACCTTTGGCTCCATCAAGACGACGCTACAAGTATATCATATATAGCCAACGTAACAATCAATTTATTGAAGGAAACTTTTGGTGAGCGCATTATCTCACGTCGTGAGCATGTGGCGTGGCGTTCCAAGATTGTGCGATTTAACACCGCTGGACTATTTTTTGTGAGATTATGTGAGGTCATACAGCTCTAATTGCTGGAAAAAGTGATTGAAATTTAGGCTACTCACATGGCATTTATTCGAGTCACTTTTACGAGACCATTTTCACGACAAAATGACAAAGCCTTAGCTTTTTAATAAAGCTAAATTCTGGCCATAATCTTTAGTTATATGCGTTTAATTTCTTTTTGAAAAACACATGTCAAAAAAAAAAACACTCTTTATATATTATTATACTGTATATTCAGTGAGTCTTGAACATTTGAGGTTTTTTCTGGTGTTTTGGATTGTAATTATATTTCAAGACTAAAATGAGAAAATAAGTATACTCAAGATTTTTGGATTATTAATATTTTTGTTTAAATTTGGAGTTATAGTTATATATCAAACATTTATTTTTCCAATCAATATTATTTATATATTATTTTCTAAAGTTAACACTCAATAATTATATTTTAATTTGTTACTATTTTTATTTACAAAATAGCCTGTTGGAGCTGAACTGTTTCGTAGAACTGCATATGAGCGAAGAAAAATTTACACTTCTGTTATGTATGTATACTCGTATATGTATACTAGAACAAGTGTAGTAGGCACTAAGAGGCGTTTACAAAAGTAAACATTTTGTATCGCTACCGTCTATATAGCACAGGCAACTGAGTCGCCAGTCGCCATTTTTGGTATATTATCTAATGCTACCATCCTTTATTATGATATACAGAAATGTCAAAATCTTCAAAGCAGAATCCTATTATGGTAGCTAGCATGAGTAGACTGGCAACTACATACAATACAGTAGTCTTACGTTATGTGTTCTTTAGGCTTTGGAGAGTTAATATGGTATTTTGGTTCAAAAAGTGCCCTTATCTAATATTTTTTTAAAGCAAATAGCCAGTGCAAAGCAATTGTTAACGCATTATGTTGGCAAAAACTATTATGTACGCCTAATCGCGGTGTAATGACATGCCTGTGTTTAGTAGTGAAACATTTTTTCCCCATGATTGAAATGGACACTAATCACAGTTAAAAATCTATTTTTTATACGGTTATATATAATATTTGTATATATTTTATAACTATTATTATTGTTTTCGGTTTTTTTTTTTGGTTTTTTTTGGAAATTAAGTTTTTTAGTTTCTGCTTTCAAAGATAAATTTCACTTAATTATATAATATATAATTTCAGTATTGAATTACTTTTTTCACTCAACCATAGTGTTGTCAAAGGTTCAACTAAACATTCACCATTAACAAAAAAACACAACTACAATTGAGTACACATACATATGTATGTAATTATGCGCTCAAATAACAATATGCTAGTTATAAAGTTAGATACAGGAAAGCAAGGCAAAGTTAATTCATTGAAATTGAAAACTGAATTTTAGAATTTTCCTTTCTACTTTGCACTTTTATTCAATTTGAGAATTAATTTTTTTTTTCCAAATTAGTTTAGATCGAATATCAATATTGAATTTTAGTGGGTCATACGGCATATATTACATACATAAAAACATATGTAGTATGCACGTGTGTATGCAGGTTTGTGTATAACTTTCGGTATGCGCTGTTATTTGCTCTCTAATTATATGCATTTGCACTACTGTGAGGTATAGAAGTAATCAATAAGCATATACATGAACAACAACAATAAACAAACAACAATACATACTAAATAATAGTGAGCAGTAGGCGGTATATTGTGGTTCATATTGCAGAGTTTCTGGGCGTGTGAGCGGTTGGGTTGGCTGACTAATCCAATTGACCGATTGGTAATCGCCACAATGCGTTGGTGTTGGTAAATACATATTTATTTATGTGTGTGTTTCACATTTTAGTATTGAGCATTGCATTTTTTTTTTTTTTTTGCATAAACATTTTTTTTTGCTTTTGCTTTTGCTAGTTTGATTGGCTATTGTTTAGTTTCCTTTGAGTATATATTTGTTTTGATTAACTTTGCATAAACTAAATTGCATTCCTCTATTTTTATTTAAGAAATTTTATTTTTGGTTTATTTATAAAAATAAATGTGACAACGGCATTCGTTCGTTAGTGAGCAAAGAAAATTGTATTAAAAATATTGTGGTTATGCAAAAACAAATATAGTTTTTTATATATTTTGTGTATAGGCAAATTGCGGTCAAAATGTATGAAGATGAGTGCGTTGTTCGAATGCGACAGCAAAGTTTTTTAAATTTTGTTATGATGCAATATTTTTTTTTTGTTTTGTTACGCAATAATAATAAGTTTGATTTGGCAAAGCAGAAATGTTGAAACGAGAATATGAATGAAACTGACTAATATGAGGAAAATTTTTAACGACATTCGCTTAAATATACATATTCCTTTTTTATTAATTTTTATATTATAAACAAATATAATAAACTTGCTTCCTAAACAGTAGATTCTAAATAAAACTCGTTATTAGGCTATTATAACTTAATAATTATTTTCAAATTTTACCCTTCGCGTTGTAAGTTAAAAAAATGTTTATTCAAAAAAAGAGTTTTAATCATATATGTATACAAAAAAAAGTTATATAATAAAAAATTTTAACTAACAAACATCATAATGCTGCCAAACTATATAAAACATATTTTGAAAAATAAAATTCAAAAATGATATTGAAATAATTTTTAACAAATAATACAGGCGAAATTTTAAAAATATAATTAAAAAATTAATATTATAAAATTTTAATGAAATAATTTTTATTTTTATGTATATAATTTATTAAATAACTTTTAATACATTTTATATTAAATCTGCTGTTTTATATTCCGGAATAGAAAAGTTTAAAAATTTATATATCGTTATTTTATTTTTTTATATTTTCTATAGTTGGTTTAAATTTAGCAATCATAAATAATTTTAATTTAGAATTTCATTTAGAAAAACAATTTGTTAGCTATTTTTTCTTTATTTGTTATTTAGTTTTAATTTATATAAAAAAAAATTAATGTAATTTTCTGTTTTATATTTTAAAAATATTTTTAAGCTTTTAAAAATTTTAAACCTTTTTTACTATTATTACTAAAAGTGAAAATATTTTTTATTTCAAAAAGTTTTTTTTTAATTTTTTTCAAAATTCTAATTAAATTTTTTTTTATAACGTGACTAAAAAGCAAAAAAACATTGGAAGATTTTAAAATTTAAATTTATTGTTTTTTGGATTAATTTTTCGAAGAAATCGTATGTTTAAGCTTCTGATTTTATTTTGGAGTGCTCTTGTGTTATTTCTCCTGCTAGTTTTATTATAAATGTAATTAAATAATTGTTTTGTCAATTTCTAAACATTTTTTTTATAACCTTATTTTTTTTTTTTAATTTTGTTACTTTTTTTTAAGCAAGAGCACTTTCGCAATAGTTGATTCCACCATAAATGTCACCAAATATTTTTTATTCAACTCCGAAAAGTTTTAATATAATTTTTATTATTTAAAAAAAAAAAGTTTTTTGAAGTGCTAGTGCTCTTGTGATATTTCAACAGTTGATTTCACTATAAATGTTATTAAATATTGTTTTTCAACTCCAAAAATGTAATTAATGTAATTTTGTAATTTTTTAAATGAAATTTTTTTTTAACTTTTTAATACTTTTGTTTTTTAATTTTTTGTACAAATTATTGTTATACTTTTTTTTGTATCAAAAATTTTTTGGCGTACTCTTGTGCAATGTCAATAGTTCATTT